GTAGTGGCGAACTTAGGCACAAAAACTGGAATACAACTTTTTCAAATATTCCATAATCAGAGGAATTGGATATCTCTAACTTCAAAAACCCGAATTCTTTCGTAATTAAAAATTTCAATCTTCCTTGTGTATTGATTGTTTGTTAACAACAAACTCAATAAGTAAAAATATTAAGTTTAAGAATAAGTATAACAAAGGCCATAAGGAAGCTCCCTCCCCCTTACATTTTCTCCTTAGTCGTAACTCAAATCCGGTGAGTTTATATTTTCGATACTTTGAACTTAAACTCAAATTTATCGATATCAGTAGTTTTATACACTGAGGTGACACAAGTCGTAATATCGTGTCGAACCTCTCTTTTCCCGGCGAAGTTAAGAAACTCGACTTGGCGTGGACACAAGTAAGAAATATTGAGCCATGCTGCCTCTATAGCCGTCCATTATTGAGGAGTGTTGCAGGTGCATAATTTTGTACACGAACTGATCTCTTTATTATGTCCCGTAAATGTTTGATTGAATTCATGTGGGGTAATTAGGTAACCAAATCATTCGCTCAAATTGCCCAAAATGTTTTTTAAACCAATCGCGAACATTTATGGCCCAGAGACAGGTGAATTGCCATACATAAAAATTTCATAGTTGCTTGGGAACAAGACGGCAGTGAATCGCTCCAAATGGTTTACAAGGAGCTGAACATAACCTTTTCCAGTTAATGACCGGCTTAGTAGGAGGAGAGGATCCAGTCCATTCCATGTAAAACATCTCTTACCATTATGGGGCAACGATCAGTTTGCACACTGCATTGCGGACAACTTGGGTTCATGACTTCCCCCTACTTGAGCCCCACTAACACTTCTTACCAAATAAAATCTGACTGAATAGTTTTCCAGTCACCTAGAATCCAATCGATATGGAGCCCAGAAAAGGCGCTACATGTGATAATGTGCTGTTAGAAAAGACACTCGGTCTTCTGCTGCCTTTTTCCAATTAAAGCCAAATTTTTCCTTCGGACATTTTCGTCGCACACTGTTTTCTGCGGTTATTTCACGCAGTCTGTCTGTTAGCACTGACAAGTCTATGCAATCGCCGCTGCTCTTGGTCATAAACTTAAGGCAGTCCGCCATTGTATTTTCTGTGCTGAGAGGTTATGCCTGAAATTAGGTATTCTCGGCAGTGTTGATATAGTGAAATCTCAGGATACTGAATTCCCTAACGATTTCCGAAATGGAATGACCCATGCGTCTAGCTTCAACCACCATTCGGCTTTCAAAGTCTTAAACATCGTCATGCAACCATAATCACGTCAGAAATATTTGTACATGGATCACTTGAGTACAAATTAAAGCTCTGCCAATGCAATGTCCTTTTATTCTTTTTTTATGCGACACTAGTGCCATCTGTATATTTGCACATTGCTATTCCATGACTTTTGTCAACTTAGTGTAATCCCCTTCATATTCTCCATTAACTCGTAGCTCAAGCTCCGATAAGTCGTAATAATTTATAATTTAAACTTTCCTTTTATAATCTAGATTACTGTGTGCAATAAACACACGATTATACAAATATCGCGTATACGGTTAACCATATTGGATTAGTTACTCGCGCATAATACCGGCCGCATAATGCAGTAATGCACAGTTCTTGGATTGGCCATTCAAAATTAGGATCCGATATTACGCTATTTCCAATTTTAAAATAATGATTTATAAAGAGCAGAATGTTCTCCCGGGTCCAGCAAGTATGTTTTATTAATATTCCCATTATAAAGGTTGTTATGATCTTTTCATGATTTACACGCGAACTCCTGTCCCGGATGCTTAGTGGCGTCTTGGGGGAACTATTAAACTCACAGAAGGGCACCTTGGCGCAACTACTCTGACTACTCTGACGTTTGCGGTTCGCTCTAGTACGGCGCTGGGGCAGCCGCGTAGGTCCACGTCGGACCCTTTTCTATTTGTTTATTGGCGAGGCAGCTTGTAGGTCCATCTCGACCCTCCCCTGAACTAAACGTACTCACACAGACCTCTACGCCTTACACGATATTCGAACCCGAGCCTCTTCTAGTCGAGGCAGCGACGGCCGTCTCTATTAGCATGGTATAATAGCATGGTATACTAACATGGTCTCTACTAGCACAGAAAAACGTTGTTTTGCGAAAGCGCTAGTATGGAGAAATTACTAAAAGAAGGGACCGAATTGACACTGCTGGGAACATGTCTACAGGGTATATCCATGCCCTTACTTTGTCAGTGCGTTTGTGCACAGATAGCTCATTTGTAAATGGCTTCATCACTATCCGTTGCAATGCCATCTCCTCCGCTTCCTGACCTGTCCCAGTGGTCCCTTCTTAGAGCAACTCCTCAAGGGCACTGGCTTCCCTGGCGCGTAGAGACGAGGAGGGCGCTCACCTGTAGGGGCCCGCGACGTAGCGCTCGCCGGCGGCGTAGTCGAGGTTTTGCGCTGTCGCCGGCAGGTGCTGGCCCGGGGGCGGGGCCGGGGCCGGGGCCGGGGGCGGCGGCGGGGGCGGGGGCGCGGCGCCGCGCAGGAGCTGCGCACCGGCGCACCGGCGCCGCGCGGCCGCTGGGGTAGGGGCGCGCGGCCCCTGGCTGGGCGGAGGGCGCGGGGCGAGCGCTGGGGCGACGGCGACGGCGACGGCGCCTGCGACCGCCCCCCGCCGCCGCGCGGGGACTGTCTCCTGCGGTGAACGCAACCCGCTTTACAACGCCGCGCTAGGCTATTGCTCCCCTGAGTGTAGTCCCGCATGCCTTGTACCATGGAAGGCGGCGGTGTCCTCCCCTACCGACTCGCGAGTTCTCGTGCCAACGTACGTGGGCTTGTCCGGTGTTCCCCAACCAGGTTTCTCCCACCCGCGGGGCACCGTCCCGGCTGCGACAAGCTCTTAAGTTTCCGACAGGTCTCCCGACAAGTATGGTAGTGAAGTGTAAGTGTTAGTAAGAGATCAAGAAAGAGTAAGTGTAAGTGAAAGGGTAAGGGTTGAACAAGGAAGAGGAAGGAAAGATCGCGCGCGGTCCGTGGCCCGTTTGTTAGGGTTTTACTCTGGCATTCGCCTGGTATTGTTCTGAGAAATACGAAAAACTACTAAACGGAGCAGCCGGTCTCTAGAATTCTCCTCAACATAGTGGCTGGACTCCACGTAGCTACCTAGTGTCGAAAATTTTACTATCGTCGGGATTCGGGACCATCCGGACAGCAGTGTCATCAGTTCATGCCCTGAGACACCTTTGCCAGTGTGTCAATAAAAAGACTTGCACAGTGCCGATGAGCACTTTCAAAGATAATGACGTTATAGGCATGGGGTGGCCTATTTCTAGCCTGAGACACTCAAAATTACTGAGAACATGTTCATCAGTGAGGTCTCGACGGCGTTGCGTTGAGGCAGAGACGCCCTCTGCAAGTGTTTCACCTAATGGCAGATCAAGATTTCTTGCCATGACTTCTTGCCTGTTTTGTTTCCGGGAGCGTCAACTACTATGGTCATTAGTCACGTAAATGTCGTGCATGTTGTATCCCGGGAAGTGATGGTGTTCCTTTCCAATTGCGACGTGTCATCCGGAGCCGACCTACACGTCGGCTGGACCGTTTTCTTGCCTCGAGGTATCCCCCCATAGCGGGGTCACTGCTACGAGTATGTAGCTAGTATCGATCCACCTCTGAACTAATCGACTTCGATCCGGCTATCGATGCTGCACAGTTGCATAGTAGGAGGCGCTATATGGAAACGAAACCTCTTCTGAATTTTGGCAGAGAGCTTTGGACATTAGAGACCTCTATCGTTACGGTATGAATATTTCGGAATGATATTTGTCTGCCATTATCGTGTGTAATCAGGTGACTTGTATCGTGTCGTAACAAGTCATGTGATCGCGATGAACAGACTTTCTTCCAGTGAAAATGAGACGGCAGTGTACGCTGCAACTCCATTTTCACATCTGGGTGGGATGCTCTGATCGAACACTGCGAATGGAGAGAATATGATACTATTGGAATTTAGCGTTATTACACGCACTGTCGTCACAATTGAAACTATCTCAATTTCTTGCAGTTTTAGAACAAACGTTGGTCAAAACATTTTACCACTTAAACAGGAGGCAGGTCATTTGATTGCTCACAACGAGTATCATAATTCTTTAATAGGTCTAACCATGACTCAAAGTCCACTAGTGTTCACCAGCGTAGAAAAGTTATCTGTGCATTGTGCATGAACTAAAATTTTGAATGATGTCTGTGATTTTTCCGCAACATTTGACAAACTTTTCTACGTCAGCGTTACACTTGGTGTTACCACGCGTCCGGTATCATTGAGAGTTCATTTTCTTCCAGGACGATTACTTCATACTCATAAAGCCCCAATCACTTGGCATAAGTAGTGAGGACGCACAGCCTCAACATTTGCGGAAATGCATAAGTTGTGTTGCTGACATTAACCCTGGATGATATTATAGATTTCATACAGTAGATACCACGCATCAAGAAGCCATTCCAGATCGCATTACGGAGATAGGCATGCTGTCCCACGCTTTGAAAACCAGTTTTCTTCGCGGTTCACGTACTCTTTAGGTCACGCTATAAAGGCCGGGCCGTGTTATGCAAGTCATGGTAACAGTACGGAGCATGTCTCTAGGTCGGTTCTCACTATGTTTTGATGTACTCGTTCTACGGCAGTGGTTTTACTCCTGGGTCTATGCTAAAGAAACTAAGAATCTCTACGCTAAAGAAAGAAAGAAAGAAAGAATAGAGATTTAGTTTTATAACTTTAGTGATGTAAAAACATAATAACCCTTCATGTGAAAAGAATCATAAATAAGGTAGTTGCAACATCTTATATCCTTACACATTTTATGTCAAGTTTGCTTTTGGTGAGTATCTGTTATGCATATTTGAAAGAAAGCAAAACTCCTATTGAAATAAAGTCGATGTGAAGTCACCCGGGAGGCTCAATTGCTCTTTAATCTAAATGAGCGGCCAATGGACGCACCTGCGGTGTTCCTCGTGGTCGGCCTTGGGGCTCCTGTACGCAGGGCTGGGCAGCGGCTTCGTGGGGCGCACGGGGTCGCGCAGGGGGACTTTGAGCTTCTCCGCCAGCGGCATGCCCCTCGCAGGGCTCTTGGAGCGGTCGCCTTGTTGCTCGCCGCCGCCGCTCATCTTCTTTATCTTCCTCCCTAAACAATCAACGAAAACAAAACAAAATGTTTAACTCGAAGCATACGCCATGTTCTTTTTAACTTGATGCTGTTCTACTTATCGGGTTTACTGCAGTTATATGGGCGTTACGACAAACTGCTGTTAAAAAACCCGAACTGTAGCATAAAAGTAGAAGGACGTCCATTGAAAATTCATGAAATAACCAACCAGCTCGTGATACATTCGTTCTTTGAAATTGGGAAGATCGTTAGAGAGAAATATAATTTGTCATACAAGTAAGTGAAAAGTGATGTCTTACCCAATGTACTCAGAATGCTCTTTGCCGCATAACTTCAATCTGAACTCGCAAACAACAAATATCAGTGCAAGGTAATATGCCTCATATATAGTTTTCTCGTAGAAGCACCACTTTTTTGTGGCAACAAATTTTCTTGAGGTTTTATAGGCTATTGATTTATAATTGTTTCAAGTTATTAAATGAACTAATATAAAATATATTAAATGTGGTTTTAAACAACTCATATCACGATTCAAAACTTCACCTCCCGCGCTTAAAAAAATGCACTACACTTACAGTATTATAGACCTTAGCAGTCGACGCGCCCGGAATCACTAAGAGTCCCATTTCACGTCGCCTCCGCGGGGCGCTTTCGAACGCCGCGCCTCGTAGCAGAGCATTGGTTTGAATGGAGACCTTCCCACGTGCGGCGGACTCTCGCTACGCGATGCGCGGGAGGGCGTACGCGCCCCCGCTAGCAGAACACAGCTTCAAAGGATGATGTTCCCACTGCGCCGCCGGCCGTGGCCGGAGGGTCGGCGCAAACTACCCCGTTCCACGGCGGTTCGTGGTGGAGCGATGGCGGCGTCGGAAGAGCCTTGCCGCTTAACGGGAGTGCGCCGCTGTGGCGACTTGTAAGGGCGCCTTCCCACGCCGCCACGGCAGCGCGCGCCTGTCAAGCGGCAGGGCTCTTCGCCGACCCTCCGGCGACGACGGACAAAGGGACCGCAACAGGTAGAACGCTGCGGCCGCGGCGCAGTGGGAAAGCTCCCATTTAAAGCTGTATTCTGCTAGCGGTGGCGCGTACGCCCTCCTCCGCTGCGCGTAGCCAGAGTCGCGACGTGGGAAGGCGCTCTGAGGAAGGAATGAACTGACCTGGCGCCGCCTTGGGCGATCGCCCGCCCTTGCGAGGGGCGTCGAGCGCGTCCGCGCCGCCCGCGCCGCCCGCGCCGCCCCCGACGTCGGCGCCGTCCGCGCGCCGCGTGGGGGCGCTGTGTGACAGCTTGCGTGCGCCCCCGCCGTCCGCTCCCTGCAACCAACCCGCGCACAGAAGCCTTGACTTTCGTGCGTTAACTACTCTCGTCATCTCTTTGGTCTGGGAGGTATTTTCCTCCCCCCCTCTCTTCCCAGCTGCTACCTATCGGCGGCTAAAAGACGCTAGTTTTTTACATTTTCTCAATTTTTGGTCCCCTATTTGTAGAATTGAAATATGACCAGGTTGACACCATCTTACGTGACGAACGTATCTCGTTGTGTTCCTCGCGTTTTCGTGACGCGATGTTGTGGGTCATCAAATCCACCCCCTAGTGATAGGTGTCAGTATCGATCGTGAAAGTTTCCAGAATCTCCCCACTACTGTCCTTGGGTATGCGGTCAGCCATGTCGCTGATCTCAACACTTCCCAAGCTGATGAGACGAATTGAAGTCGAAACAGTATAGCAAAAAAAGAAGTAGGCGTAAGCCAAAGAATATGTTTGCTAGTGTTTGCCAAAAGGTATCTTGTTTAAAACGCCTTGAGTAGTGGTTCCCAAATACCACTCAGAAATTTTGAGTTTTGATGGGATTGCCAAGGTCTTGGGATAAACTTTGATCCCAAATGGGCGGTCACTGCCAAATGGGATAAATGAAAGACACAGATTTGCTAGACGTTTTCAAACTATTCGGTTCTCTTCAGCATAGCTAAGAAGCCTTTAAACGGATTGGATTGAATAAAGTCTGTGCTTCCAAATATGTTGCAGCCAAAAGGCAAAAGGCGTGAGTCAAAAGGCAAGTGTCAAAAGGCAAGTGTCAAAAGGC